TCGACTCAGACAGATCATCCCATGAGCTCTGAGGATCCTCACGTTGTGTTCAGACATCAGCTGGTGTCCGTAACTGCAGCCGTGCCTTCAGAAACACACACAGGCTCACTAGTCACACTTAAAACAGTCTGTCCTCGGTTTTGTTATTTCTAAATGCTGTCAGAACGCTCAAAACATCCAGTTTTTAACATTCCATTTTATCACGTTTATCATTCACATATGCAAGAAAATATGTTTTTGTGGCCAAAATTATATTTTGAATATATGCTAAATGTATGCTGCATAGAGTGAAACTCAATTAAATATATTTTTTGAAATAGAAAATACATTTTTCATACACAAATACATTTCGAATCTTACAGTAACCTGCCTGCTAGAGATCAAAACTAGATTTAATGATGTTTAATTTAATGCATTTTATGTAATTGTAATTTTTTGGAACATTTTAAAGCATGTTCCCTATTTAATTTATTCAAAATGTACTATATGTCTAGTGTTACAGACAGCAAATCAAGTTTTTCTTCAAAAATGTGAATCTATTAATTTCTTGGATTGAAATGTATAGGGCAAGATATATGTTTGAATGCTTTTTAAAAAAATATTTTTATATTTTAAAATATACAAATACACAAAAATTGCCAAAACAATATGCTGGTCGAAAATATATTTACATTAATATATTTCAAATATATTTGAAAATAAATGGCCAAAAATATACTAGTAGAAAATATATTTACATTAATATATTTTGAAAAATAATTTAGCAAATATATATTTGGCCATTTTTTATATTTTGAAATATAGTTACAATTCACGTGTTTTTGGTTCTTTGGCCTTCCATAGGCGTTTGCGTGCGTCAGGCGCGGAACAGCGGCCTTTTTGAAAGGACACCGGATCAACGCGCCGCTTATTATCGCAGCGCTTCTGCGGCGCCGCGTCAAATCCGCCGCGCTGATCCGGGATCAGCTCAGCAGCACGGGAAGCGAGTGGAAGCTTTCACAATATTCAAAATATCGCATCGAATACAATAAGCGTTGAATAATCCAGCCATAATATAAACACGTACAGAAGCGCAATGATATGATCACGTGATCTTATTAACAGTACATTTACGTCATCTTTACACCGTAATGTTTGACATGTTCCTCAAACGTTTTCTTTTTTTGAACTTTATTTATTTTTATTTAGAACTTGACATAATAGTGTACATACAAGAGGCTAACATTTATATGTATGTATGTATTCTTTTTTCTTTCCTTTCCGTATAAATGTACAAATATACAAAAAAATGAAAAATGTTGTACATATCAAACTGCTGCAAAGTTCTTATTGCTTTTACGTTATATATATTATTTATTTTATATTTTAATTTGTTATTTTTTTTCATTCCAGTTAACTTGACGATCAATCATAATGAAATCAAATGAAAATGCAAGATTTTTAAAACATTTTAGCAATTTATTCGATTATAAACGTCTCGTATTTAGATAAGCGTGCGACACCTGCTGGATAATACTGGTATTACATACATTATTATTGCCGATCAGACCGGGGCTAGTTGTCACACGGTTTTTATGTTTTTATTTATCAGTTTTAACCTATAGTTTTTACACACACCTTAAATTTAAGACTACAGAAAAAAAGCTACATTTCCACACTTGTTGCACGCAAAAAGTCCAATATACAGTAGGTCTGTTCACATAACACGTTTTTATTTAATACCACAAGAACAAGACTATTTCAGTCCAAGAAGCCGTGGTTTACAGTGAATTTACAACAGCTAAGGGGTGTTGTTAGGTACGACGCGAAGCTGTTATAAATTCACTGTAAACCACGGCTTCTTGGGGATTATTGCTTTTATAAAACGGTTATTCCATATACGTAGCAAGGTTTCACCAAATAAAGTGTAATGATATTAATAAAAACAGTATTCTTCCACCAAACAATGTAGCTCCTCAGAAACAGTTGTGGTTGCTACAAAGTGGTTGCCGAGCAACACACAAACATAAACAAAGGTGTGTGTTACTTTGTAGAGTAATTTGCAACAGCTTCGAACGCGGCTCAGCCAATCAGAATCAAGCACCGGAACTATCCGTTTTATAATATCGTCAAGCGTTAGGAATCATGGTTCACATTGTATCAGATGATAAATCATTCAGATGATTTATGAGTCATTACTTTTGCTAAATCTGTTTATCTAGTGGCTATAGATTCAATATTTATTCGGTCTATAAACAGTATTAACCCTCTACTGCACACATCATGTTATTATCTTTAAAGTTGGAAAATATTCCATTAATTAGTAGATAAATAAATAAATAAAACCAAAAAACCTATATGCTCAGACTATATATACACACACACACACACACACATATATACATGTAAATATGTATGTATATACTGTATGTGTGTATTTATATAAACATAATAAATATACACAGTACACATATTATGTCAACAGAAACTTTTATTTTGGATGTGTGTGTAATATTTTTATTTAAAAATCATCTATCCTCATACAAGGATGTCATGTAGGTATATACTGTATCAGATGTGTTTCAAACATAAACAATAAACATTAAAACATTACAATATTTGAATGCACTGTTATTATGATTTGATTATTCTTCAAGCATCACCTCCATCTTTAAACACGCCACGCCTACAATCAAAACATCATAGTTATACACGTCACCTCTAAAGCTTGTTGGATCATTCAAACACGCGTCATAGGATATTTTTAAGTGCTACAATTAATGAACTATAAATACATCAGTGGGTTTGGCTGGATGTTTGTGTTAAAGGAACAGTTCACCTGAAAATGGAAATGTGTTCACTCTCAGCCCACCTAAGATTACGATTAGTTTGTTTCTTCGTCAGGTTTGGAGAAATGTGTCACTGCATCAGTGTCTCAGCAATGGATGCTCTGCAGTGAATGGGTGCCGTCAGAACGAGAGCTGATAGAAACATCACAATAATCCACAAGTAATCCACAGCACTCCAGTCCATCAGTTAACATCTGGAGAAGACAAAAGCTGAAACAAATCCAGCATTAAGACGTTTTTAACTAAAATACATTGAGTCCATAATCCATAATAACGCTTCCTCCAGTGAAAAAGTGCATCTCCTGTTGTCTCTCACATCAAAATCCAGCCACATATGTGTTTAGAGCTGTTTAAACGCTGCTTGATCTGTGCAGATTTCTCTCCTGATTCACACCAGAACACTTTTTCACTGGAGGAAGCCTTATTATGGATTATGGACTCAATATATTTTAGTTCAAAACGTTTTAATGCTGGATTTGTCTCAGCTTTTGTCTTCTCCAGATGTTAACTGATGGACTGGAGTGCTGTGGATTATTGTGATGTTTTTATCAGCTCTCGTTCTGACGGCACCCATTCACTGCAGAGCATCCATTGCTGAGACACTGATGCAGTGACACATTTCTCCAAATCTGACGAAGAAGCAAACTCATCCTAATGCTTACAAGTAACTAAAACAAAACCTCTGTTTTCTCTTGCAGACGAGGATGCCGCTTCAGTCACGATCTGCTCTCAGGTCAGAATGCATTAGTTCTGACCGCTCACGGTCTGAACACACTGGACGTAAAGGAGCTGTGCATTCTGCTTATGCAGAGCGATTACTCACTCCTGCCAGCGGTGAGCATTTCACACGTTTTACTCTAAGTATAGAGTTTTGTGTTGAGCCTGAAAATGGTGCTTGTTTCTCAGGTGTGTCATTCGTATAATAATGGCACGGGAGAATACGGCCGCTGTCCGGACGCCGAGAACTGTAAGAGGCTCCACATCTGCGAGAAATATCTGCGAGGCTCCTGCGACTGCACTCGCGCTCATGACTTCTACGAGCCGCATCCGCTGAAGACGCTGCAGGACAGAGGCGTCCCCACCGAACTCATGGCCATCATGAAGGATCTGTACTCCAACATCGAAGTTCTGAGGCGTCTTTCCAAGGCAGCTTTTGCTCCAAACGCTGCGGGACCGAACCCCAGAAGAGGCCCGAATGCACAGAACCGGAGACCGTCGAGTGGTTTTAACGCAGGCAGAGGACAAGAGGCTCAGAGGCCTCCACAAAACAACACAGGTAAAGCATACGTATTTTTATAGCAGCCCGCTTCCACCACTGAATAAAAATAAAAAAGGTAATTGTGACTTTTTATTTCACAATTCTGACTTTTTCTTACGATTGTGAGTTACGTTTTCTCAGAATTGTGTGATGTAAACTTAGAATTGTGAATTATAAAGTCAGAAAAGTGAGAAATAAACTTGCGAATGCGTGTTTACATTTTTTCTCGCAATTCTGACTTCTTTTCTCAGAATTTCAAGATACAAACTTGCTATTGAGAGAAAAAAGTAAGAAGATATAAACTCGCAATTGCGAGTTATAAAGTCCAGTTCTGAGAAAAAAAGACATATCACGCAAATTTTGACTTTTTCTCAGAAATGCGAGTTTATATCACGCAATTCTCACTTTCTAACTCGTAATTGCGAGTTTATATCTTGCAATTCTGAGAAAAATATTGTGAGATAAAAAGTTGCAATTACCTTTATTTATTTTATTCAGTGGCGGAAACGGGATTCCATGTGTTTTAAATACGAGAATGCAATTTTAGGAAAAATTCAGTCTGAAAGAGTGTGTGTGTCTCTGCTCTTAGAGAAAACGGAGATCTGCATGTATTTCATCAAAGGATTCTGCAAGCACGGTGGTAAGAACGGCATTACTCTGTGCTCGTGTGATTCACTGAGCTGTGTTTAGTTTGAACGCAGCTGAACACCTGTTTTTCCAGTCTCATGTAGGGGGGAGCATTCCAATCTGCCCTATAAATGGGAAGTTAAAGAAGGATTGGAATGGAAGGCTCTTCCTGACAACGAGGCCATCGAGAAAGATTATTGCGATGCTGCAAGAACATACAGGTGTGTGAAAGAAAACACATGGAGAATGTGAAATGAAATCACGGGATTAGTGCTGCTCTCCCAGCACAGTGCTATGACGCTGGAGGTGGTTGCCAGGGTGTTGCTATGCTGATGCCAAGGTGTTTTTTCAGTTGTGTTGCTATGCAGTTACTAAGGTGTTTGGAGTGTTTTTAGTGTGTTGCTTTGCGGTTGCTAAGGTGTTTGAAGTTTTTAGTGCATTGCTATGCAGTTGCTAAGGTGTTTGGAGTGTTAGTACGCTGCAATGCGGTTGCTAAAGTGTTTGGAGTGGTTTTAGTGTGTTGCTATGCGGTTGCTAAGGTTTTTGGAGTTTATTTAGTGCATTGTTTGTTATGCGGTTGACAAGGTGTTTTTTCAGTTGTGTTGCTATGCAGTTACTAAGGTGTTTGGAGTGTTTTTAGTGTGTTGCGATGCGGTTGCTAAGGTGTTTGGAGTTTTTAGTGCATTGCTATGCAGTTGCTAAGGTGCTTGGAGTGGTTTTAGTGTGTTGTTATGCTGTAGCTAAGGTGTTTGGAGTAATTGTAATGTTGATATGTGGTTGCTAAGGTGTTTGGAGTGATTGTAGTGTTGATATGTGGTTGCTAAGGTGCTTGGGGTGGTTCTAGTGTGTTGCTATGCAGTTGCTAAGGTGTTTGGATTGTTAGTGCGTTGCTATGTGGTTGCTAAGGTGTTTGGAGTTTTTTGTGTGTTGCTATGCAGTTGCTAAGGTGTTAGGAGTGGTTTTAGGGCGTTGCTATGTGGTTGGTAAGGTTTTTGCAGTTTATTTAGTGTGTTGCTATTCGGTTGCTAAGGTGTTTGAAGTTTATTTAGTGCGTTGCTCTGCGGTTGCTAAGGTGTTTGGAGGTTATTTAGTGCGTTGCTATGCAGTTGCTAAGGTTTTTGGAGTTTATTGAGTGTGTTTCATTGCAGTTGTGTTTGAAGTGGTTTTAGTTCTGTTGCTATGCAGTTGCTAAGTTGTTAGGAGTGGTTTTAGGGCGTTGCTATGTGGTTGGTAATGTTTTTGCAGTTTATTTAGTGTGTTGCTATTCGGTTGCTAAGGTGTTTGAAGTTTATTTAGTGCGTTGCTCTGCGGTTGCTAAGGTGTTTGGAGGTTATTTAGTGCGTTGCTATGCAGTTGCTAAGGTTTTTGGAGTTTATTGAGTGTGTTTCATTGCAGTTGTGTTTGAAGTGGTTTTAGTTCTGTTGCTATGCAGTTGCTAAGTTGTTAGGAATGGTTTTAGGGCGTTGCTATGCGGTCGCTAAGGTTTTTGCAGTTTATTTAGTGCGTTGCTCTGCGGTTGCTAAGGTGTTTGGAGGTTATTTAGTGCATTGCTATGCAGTTGCTAAGGTGTTTGGAGTTTGTTTTAGTGTGTTGCTATGCAGTTGCTAAGGTTTTTAGAGTTTATTGAGTGTGTTTCTGTGCAGTTGTGTTTGAAGTGGTTTTAGTTCTGTTGCTATGCAGTTGCTAAGTTGTTGTGTAGTTGCACATTTGTAAATGTGATGTTTTTGGTTGATAACTATTTTATTTTCACCTTAATATTAATCAAACTGTCTGTTCAGGCAGTGCATGAATGGTTAGTGGAGTGTTCTGACGGTTTCTCTGTCTATCAAAGCGCTGGAATGAACCCGGTTTATTTCGATACGATGACCCAAGGCTCTCACAGTGTGCGGCGTCTGTCGACGGTACCGTCGGTACTCCAGCCCACCTTCATCCTGACCACCGAGTGGGTCTGGTACTGGGAGGACGAGGATGGGAACTGGATCCAGTATGCTACAGCGGTAAGTGACTTTTTGTGAAACTTAACTATACTTTTCAACATTTGATGTTCTGTTTTTCTCTTTATTGATCAGGAGGGTGGTCATAGATTGTCTTCCATTTCCAGCGCTGAACTCGAGCAGAAGTATCAGGTTGATAACAACGCTGTGGTGGAGTTCACAGCCGAATCGCAGACGTACGAGCTCAGCTTCAAGGGTAACCTAAAAAAAAACATTGTACATTTAGGGGTTGTGCGATTACATATCGTCTATGATAGGATTGCAATTGTTGTTTTAATGATGTACGAGCTGACATTATGGAGTATGTCGCTCAATTTGCAAAAAAACTAACAAAAACACATCTTGAGAACCCAAAAGCATTGAATCCTACAAAACGTACAAAATGTTTTGCTTTCATAACTTGATTTCAGGGTATTTTAACTGCATTCTAACAGGCTTCATCACACAAGCTGGTAGAATGCAGTTAAAACACCATGATAATTTAAGTTATGAAAGCCAAAGAAATTTTAGGTTTTGTTTGTTTTTTATATTTATAAGATATAATACATTTAAGTAATTTAACACAAGCAAGTGTTGTTTTCCTGAATATCAGCACATGAGCGCAATTGCGAATGGGACATTGATTTTATACAGCAGTTCAATAAACAAGAAATTCATATTTAGTGAGTTACATTTTATACACAGTATTGTATGTTTTTTTTTCTGTTTTCCAACGAAAATAGTTCCAAACAAAGCTGGAGTGGATCATATGTGCATCTCAGAGCAAACACTGCAGTGTTTCGCTCCTAAATGAATCTGTTTTTGAACAAATCATTTGAGTCAATGATTCAATGATCCATTCATAAAGACTCAGAATGAATCAGCCGTTTTGAATGAATCGTTTAAATGAATCACTCATTAACACAGGAACTTGCTGCCACCTACTGGCGCTTTTAGTGTCGTATTTACTTATCCATGAGAAAAATATTGTGAAATATTGTCAATATCGCACACTCCCACATACATTATACTTATAATAGTCTTGAAGAAGCTTCACGCAGCTCTCGAACTGTCGTCTGAACTAATCTTGCTCTTCAGATATGATCCAGACAAACAAACGCTACACAACCAAAAAAGTCGTCAGACGTCGTCCCAAATTTGTGTCAGCGGCTGATGTTCGAACAATCAAGACAGCGTAAGAAAACACTCCTCATTCTCTCTCGAACTCTCCGAAACCTGTATGGTGAAAAAAACTCTTCATGTCTGTTTTTAGTAAAAGGACGCCCAATAATTTCAAGGCTCTGCCGGAGCACTGGGATAAAGCTCTGACTCCTGAAACCGGATACAAGGTGAGTGGAATCGTTTATCGGTGACTTTACGTGGATCTCTGTTTATATTGTTAAAACTGCACTGTTTTACACAGAGTGTGTGGCTGCAGAGCACGTCAGCCGAATACATCAAAATCAAAGAACTGTTCAGTCGCACCATGGTCGGCTTCCGAATCCTGAAGATCGAGAGGATCCAGAACAAAGCATTATGGGAAGTTTATCAGTGGTAGGTCCACAAGACATGCACTCACTGGAATGTCCAGATCGATTGCAGCACGTCTGACGGTTTGCGCCACTTTTAGGCAGAAGGACTTCTTGAAAAAGAACAACGGAGGCAGAGACGTGACCGAGAAGCAGCTCTTCCACGGCACCGACAGCACGCATTTAGATGCCATCTGCCACAACAACTTCGACTGGAGGATCTGTGGGACTCACGGCACGGCCTACGGAAAAGGTGGCGTTCAGATAACGTAAAACAGTGTTTAAGAAATAGTTCAACCAGAAATGAGAATGTGCTGGTTGAGTTTGTTTCTTCATCAGATTTGGAGAAATGTAGCATTGCATCTCGTTCTGACGGCACCCATTCACTGCAGAGCATCCATTGCTGAGACACTGATGCATTTCTCCAAATCTGACGAAGAAACAAACTCATCCTAATTTTTTTGGTTGAGCTATTCCTTCAAACGCACATCTTGAGAGCCCAAAATGTGTCTCTTTTTGCAGGTAGTTATTTTGCCAGGGATGCCAAATACTCGCACAGCTACACCAAAGATTTAGGCACTCGTTCCATGTTCGTGTGTCGCATTCTGGTTGGCAGCTACACCAAAGGTGAATCCAGCTACCTCCGGCCTCCATCCAAAGACGGAGGAGACACCGTCTTCTACGACAGCTGTGTGAACGATGTCTTCGATCCGTCCGTATTTGTAGTGTTCGAAAAGCACCAGATCTACCCCGAGTATCTGATTGAGTATAGCAACTCCTCAAGTGCTTGTCCCTCACAATCCTCTTCCTCAACTACTCCAAAGTCTTCAACGTCAGAGTGCATCATTTCCTGACCATATGATCATCAGGCATCATGCGATCGCATTGTGTGCTTTAGAGGAAGTTAATAGTGATAATCAAAAGTAAAAAAAATAAACGTTACAGAAAAGTGTCATACTCTCAGGAGGTTAAAGTCACGATGAAACGGGAGCAGCGACAGATCTTTTCTTCTTTATTGTGACATGCATCCAAATGTAACAAAATGTTGGGTGGGGCTTGGTTCTGTGCATCAGTTGATTGGATGTTGAGATGTGGGCGTGGCTCTAAAAGTGTATGCAGATGAGCGTGAGCTTGCACGGGCGGGGCTTACGTGGAGGAAATGACTGGAAGATTTTATTAAATAGTCAAAATGTAAAAAGAAACGTGTACACGGATGAATTATTAGAGCTATAACATGCATTTGGAAAACGGACGGTGAATTTTTATTTCATGCCAGCTTTGATGGCAATGTGTAATTTGTCTTGATCTTTACTTGGATCTTTGTAATAATCTCAATATTTGAGATACTTGTCACAGTGAAGCTTTCCAATACATAAGGAAATAAATTTTTTTCCCGTCATATTGACCTTTTCCTCATAATCCTCAAATATAGGCTACTTTTCCCTAATAGATGTGAATGACTGATTGAAATATCACTATTTATTTTTGTTTCCCAAACCATTCAATACCCGTGTCCCTCAGCAATATAAAAATTATGTTGAAATAAAAATTATGTGTGCCTATTTATAGTAATCTGATTATTTTTGGTTAGGTGTACTTATGATCTAAATTTCATTATATTATCATATTTAAATAACCAAACTTGGTGTCAAGTATTTTGTGCAATGATTTGTTTTAACATTTTTAGAAAATAAACATTTAAATAACGTTATGTTTTGGGTGAAAATAAAGGTGGAGTAAAGGAACGTTGTAAGAAAGGTTTTTGTAACCTTTAAATAACATTAATCACGATTTCAAGAATGTTCCCACAACGTTTTTAGAAGCTGCTTATAGTTCTTACTGTTTACATTTTAAATTTACATTTCTCATGAATAATTTCGGTCATATTTCAAATACTGCACAAAATACGTTCACATTTGTATGATAATGTTGGTAGTTTAATCGCGTGATCAAACCGGGCGTGTGTTTCTTCCTGTAAGTTTCGTTTTCTCTCAGATTGAATCACTCGCTGATCTGGAGTCAGTGTTCAGAGAATCATTAGCTTATTTGGAGCATAGACATAATAAATACCTAGACTCCTCATTGGCCGCTTCCTACTAGTATATTTTTGGCCATTAATTTTCAAATATATTTTAAATATATTAATGTAAATATATTTTCTACCGGCATATTGTTTTGGCAATTGTTGTGTATTTTAAAATATCAAAATATTTTTTAAAAAGCATTCAAACATATATCTTGCCCTATACATTTCAATCCAAGAAATTAATAGATTCACATTTTTGAAGAAAAACTTGATTTGCTGTCTGTAACACTAGACATATAGTACATTTTGAATAAATTAAATAGGGAACATGCTTTAAAATGTTCCAAAAAATTACAATTACATAAAATGCATTAAATTAAACATCATTAAATCTAGTTTTGATCTGTAGCAGGCAGGTTACTGTAAGATTTGAAATGTATTTGTGTATGAAAAATGTATTTTCTATTTCAAAATTATATTTAATTGAGCTTCACTGTATGCAGCATACATTTAGCATATATTCAAAATATAATTTTGGCCACAAAAACATATTTTCTTGCATATGTGAATGATAAACGTGATAAAATGGAATGTTAAAAACTGGATGTTTTGAGCGTTCTGACAGCATTTAGAAATAACAAAACCGAGGACAGACTGTTTTAAGTGTGACTAGTGAGCCTGTGTGTGTTTCTGAAGGCACGGCTGCAGTTACGGACACCAGCTGATGTCTGAACACAACGTGAGGATCCTCAGAGCTCATGGGATGATCTGTCTGAGTCGAGAAGATCTGTGTGTGATATTTCTGCAGTCCGACAGCGGCCTCCTGCCTCCCGTGAGCATCCGCACGCCACACATACACTCATTTTCAGGGAAAGATGCTAAAGGCAGGACAATTTGTTGCTAAATGTCATTGCGCGATGACATCGTTATGTTATCACAACGCAAAACTGCATAGAATATACACAATCAGATCACTCACATCTCAGCAAAAATATGATTATGAGGATGATTTGAAATGTTCATTTAGATTTGTTAGTAAAACTAAAAAAGAAATATAATATTAAAGCAATAAGCCGCAAGAAGCCGTGAATTTATAACAGCTAATGGGCATTGTTAGGTACGACGCGAAGCTTTTATAAAACGGTTATTCCATATACGTAGTACGGTTTCACCAAAATAAAACAGCAAATAAAGTGTAATGATATTAATAAAAACAGTATTCTTCCACCAAACAATGTAGCTCCTCAGAAACAGTTGTGGTTGCAACAAAGTGGTTGCCGAGCAACACACAAACGTAAACAAAGGTGTGTGTTTGTAGAGTAATTTACAACAGCTTCGAACACGGCTCAGCCAATCAGAATCAAGGACCGGAACTATCCGTTTTATAATAAAATGTAAACAATATAATATATTTATTTTTAAATACAACTTTGAATTATTGAACATTTACACATTTTCGAACAATTACATTTCGTGTGTTTTCTTATGAACTAGTAAAACGACTCGTTCGGAACCATTATAGTTTTAAGCAGTATATTGGTGGTTAGTTAGTATGCTACACTTAAAGAAAAGTCTGTGAAATAGGGCACAATGTACTGCGTTAATGTGACATTTTTAACAGGTTTTTTTTACCTGAATTTAAAATTGCACACAGTATTTTCTGTTTTCAGGTTACAACTTAACAGATAATGTCCTGTTATAAAGCGGATAGTTCCGGTGCTTGATTCTGATTGGCTGAGCCGCGTTCGAAGCTGTTGTAAATGACTCTACAAAGTAACATACACCTTTGTTTACGTTTGTGTGTTGCTCGGCAACCACTTTGTAGCAACCACAACTGTTTCTGAGGAGCTACATTGTTTGGTGGAAGAATACTGTTTTTATTAATATCATTACACTTTATTTGCTCTGTTTTATTTTGTGAAACCTTACTACGTATATGGAATAACTGTTTTATAAAAGCAATAAGCCCCGTGAAGCCGTGGTTTACAATGAATTCATAACAGCTCCGTGTCGTGCCTAACAACGCCCCTTAGCTGTAATAAAATCACTGTAAACCACGGCTTCTTGAGGCTTATTGCTTTAGTACATTTTCCATTTTTCTACATCTTTCTTTTAACTGATCAACAAGTGCAGGTACAAACTAACAAGGTGTTATCATAAATGAACAATTATTATTGAACAATTGCAACTTAGTTCATGTGATATGTGTACAGTTAGACACCTTTGATTTCCTCTTCTTGTGTAATTTAGAGGGAAAATGTGCCTTTTTTGAGTCACAGTTGCTAAAAGTTGCCAAATACATTTTAAAAATAGCTACATTTGTTGCTAGGTGCTTTTTGAAGAAATAGTTGCTAGAGTAGTCTGAAAAGTTGCTAAATCTAGCAACAAAAGTTGGCAACACTACACATGATCGAATCCAAGCGTGTTGCTCTGTTCCTCAGCTGTGCATCGCGTACAACCGAAGCCGAGGGCAGCGTGGAAACTGTCCGGATGGAGAGACGTGCACGAGGCTGCATGTGTGCGAGAGCTTCGTCAGAGGACGCTGTGGCGACACGGACTGCGGCCGTACACACGATTTCCACGAGCCTCAGGCGAGAAAAGTGCTGCGCTCCAGAGGAGTGTCGCAGCAGCTCATGAGCTCGCTGCCCTTCATCTACCGCAACATCCTCGCACTCAAGACGCTCAAGACTCAAGCGGACCGCGGGAACACGGACATCCAGCCTCACAGAAGCTCTGACGGAGGTGTCAGGGTTCCTCAGTGGTTTATTGGTTATATTTGCACATATATGTGACCCAGGAGCACAAAACCAGTCATAAGGGTACATTTTTGGAAATTGAGATGTATGCATCATCTGAAAGATGAATAAATGAGCTTTCCATTGATGTATGGTTTGTTAGGATAGGACAATATTTGAAAATCTGGAATCTGAGGGTGCAAAAAAATCCAAATATTGAGAAAATCATCTTTAAAGTTGTTCAAATGAAGCTCTTAGCAATGCATATTACTAATCAAAAATTAAGTTTTGATATATTTACGGTAGGACATTTGCAAAATATCTTCATGGAACATGATCTTTACTTAATATCCTAATGATTTTTGGCATAAAAGAAAAATTTATAATTTTGACCCATACAATGTATTTTTAGCTATTGCTACAAATATACCCCAGCGACTTAAGACTGCTTTTGTGCTCCAGGGTCACACATGATTATAATAATTATGCATAAACGCTATGTTTGTATTTCTCCTGTCTCTGAAGCATCATCATATTCTGATTTAACACGTTCTGTTTTCTCTCCTCATAGAGAGTGAGATCTGCCTGTCGTTTGTCAGAGGATTCTGCGGAGCAGGTACGTGTGTGATCGTGTCCGGTCTCTAAAGACCCAAAGAGGTGCTGATTTAACCTGAATGCATCTATTTAGTCACGTCACAATTATTTATAAAGCGCTATATTATACAATACACAGTGTTTCAAAGCAGCTATCCTCCTTATTCTTCAATGCGGAAGTAAACCTATGGGCAAACTTCCGGTTCGTTAGACGCTTTAGAGAAATAACGAGAAGAATAACAACGTGCATTACAAACCAGTGTATTCATAATTAAGATTATACATTAAAATAATAAGGTTAGACACACCGATCAAGCAACAAAATGAGCTAAAAATAGCTGGATGCGGATGAGATCGACATTCTGAAAGCGTCCTTATGATGTTACTTGTACCTGATGAACATTCTAAAGAAGTTTTTTTTGTAACCTTTAAACTAATGTTCTACTCTTGACAAGAAAACTGGCCGTTTAACGTTATGCGAATATTAAAAATAGACATTTAAATATTTGGGGTTAGTAAAAACGTACGAAACATTTTTGTTAGAAATGCATTTGTAACCTTTCAGTGACATTATAACCATGACCACCTTAGAAACATTTTAAAATAATGTTCCCACGTTTTTATAACCTAAATTTGTTCCCAGTAAAGCAGCTCTACGGAAGACAAGTGTCATTATTCATGTCTATCAGTTAAATTGATGATATACTTAAATTTTAATTGTCTTTTTTAGTAACAGTGATCAGCTAATCACCAAATACAGTGTTGGTTTAGTAGAATTGAGTTTAATTTTTATTTAATTTTAGTTAATTGTAGTAATTTTGTTATGTTTTTGTCACTAAATGAAAATGCTACATGTTGCATTGGCAGCTAGCTGAAATAAAATAAATGAGTTGATTTATTTATAAGTAACAAAACTGTTTGTATGGTTGTAGTTTTAGTTAACCATAATAACCTCGCCAGTGACGTCTTGCACTGGACCAACCGGTTTTACCATAATTCCAGTCATATTTTAACACCACAATGTTTATTACAAATAAACACACGCCTATTTAAAGTCACAGTGTGAATAGAAATGAGATAGATTTGTGCCATCTTTTAGAAACCACTGCAGAAGTGCATCAGTGAGATTGAGCTGTCAGTGTGTGTTTTCTCTCCGTCAGAT